AAGTTTTGGGTGCTTCCAAGGTGGTGTGATTCAGAGAGAGGTGTGGTCACCGCTCCCCTGGTCTAGTTCTGCTCTTTACCCAGGAAGAGAACCTGCTCTTCTGCAGCTACAAGTGCTAGTGCTCCTCTTGACCCTGGAACTCTGACAAAATCCCTCTTTCTCCCACAGCCACGAGTTCCTTTCTGTGGTGGAACTGTGACCAAGGCCTCTGCTCCCTTGTGACAGACCACATGCACTCCTCTCTGACGTGGAACTGTGATCCAGAGCCATGTACGGTCAATAGAGTTGACTGTCAGTGCCAGCTACATACCCAGTGCCAGCAAAAGGTCCCCAGTTTCTGACCACCCTCCCTTTACCATTTCTGTGCTGAGAGCTCTGGAAGTTGCTAGTGCTACTGCTGTCACAGCAGCTACCACTTGCTCCGAGCCAGCCCCCATCCAGATCTGTCTTGTTGACCCTCCGAGCTGTCTTAGGCTGGAAAAATGTCTCACTCCAACCTTTTGTTGACTCTGCCACTCCAAAATTTGATTTTAGACATTATATTAAAGTTGTTTGGAGGGGAACGTTGGGAGAGTTTGACTGGGTTGCTGCCTCTAATCGGCCATCTTGGCTCTATCAGGATGCTTTTATTGAGCATTATTGTCCACAAGTCCCATCCCTTTTCCCTGTCACGGTCTGTCAAGTACTGGAAGAAAGTTGTTTTCCCCCCAGGGCCACCTCTGCTCCACGCTAAATATGCCCAGTTAGAAGTTAAATGACTTGCCCAGGGTCACACAGCTACTAAGTGTCTGAAGCTGATTTTGAACTCAGCTCTTCTGTCTCCAGTGTAGCTCTCAATTCACCTAGCTGCCTGCTTGATGGTCCCTATAAAACATCTGTCTCTTCTCTCTCTCCATACATATCTCTTTATATGTACATACATATACGTGCTCTCTCTATATATACATACATATGTTCTCTCTCTATATATGTTCTCTCTATATGTACATACATATACGTGCTCTATATATACATACATATGTTCTCTCTCTGTGCACATATACATATGTTCTCTCTCTATATATATTCTCTGCCTGTCTGTCTCTCTACCCTGCCCCCCCCTCCACCTCCCCCTAGGCTTCAGAATGTTACAGGGATCACACAAACGTGATAGACTGAACAATACTACGTATCCTTCCATACCAATCTCAGGTGCCAGCTCCCAGGTTGAGGGTTGGAGGGGAATTTGGTGACAGCCTAATCCAACCACGGCATTTTGTAGGTGAAGGGCTCATTTGTAGGTGGGGCTCAGGGAAGGGGAGAGACTTAAAGTAACAGAGAAGGGGTAAGTAGAAGAGCCTGGATTTGAACTCAGGTCTTCTGATTCCAAATCTAGTGATCTCGGTTTCCAGGTGATGCCCACATGCTCAGGAGGCAGTTAAGAGGCTAGGGTCCCAAGCTGGGCTTGACCACTTAGCTAGCTCTAGGGCCTTAGGAAAATGCTCAGGGCCTGGCTTGGAGCTACAATCTCAGCCCTTCCATTTACTAGCTGTGTGCCCTGGGGCTTCACGCCTCCTCTTCAGGTGAGTTTTTCATTTGTAAAATGAGGGGCCTCCCAATTTTCCATTATGGGATATGGCCATAGCTTTGCATAAAGCTCTGCTCTGGAAATTTAAGATGCTGATGTTGTACCCACTAAAGTGCTTCAAAGCTCAATAAATAGCACCACATAATCTCTAGAGTACTTGGAGGATGCTTTGTCGTCACCCTTGAGTCCTTTCGGTCGTGTCTGAGTCTCCACGACCCCGTTTGGGGTTTTCTTGGCAGAGATATTGGAGTGGTTTGCTATTTCCTTCTCCAGCTCATTTTACAGATAAGGAAACTGAGGCAAACTGGGTTAAAGTGACTTCACTCAGCATCACACAGCCAGTAAGTGTCTGAGGCTGGATTTGAACTCAGGTCCTCCTGACTCTAGTCCCAGGACTGTATGCACTTTGGTTCCATTCAGCTGCTTAATGTTCTGTAAACTCCAAAGTACTTTGAAAAGTGTCTCCTAAACTCGAAAGTACATTGAGAATGCAAAGGGTTATGTAAACATTCCAGTGCTTTGAGGAAACAAAGTTCTCCTAAACACAAACCAGTTAGAACACGCAAAGTGTTTGGTAAACTCTTAAGAGCTTGGAAAAAAATAAATTGTGTTAAACTTACCAAGTTCTCTGTAAAGTCCAGTACAGTAATCTAAAAATATAAAGTACTCTGTAAATTCTCAAATATTTGGAAAATCCAAAGTTCTCTATAAACTCTGAATTATTTTGAAGATGTAAAAGGCTCTATAAGCTCTAAATTACTCTTAAAAATACATTAAACAAATAAAGGACTTTGAAAAATCCAAAGCTCTCTAGAAATTCTATAGTCTTTTGAAAATATAAATGTTTTATGAAGTCTAAAATTCAAAAATCCAAAGTGCTCTGGAAACTCCAAAGTATTTTGAAAAATTAAAATATTTTGAAAATGCAGAGTCCTCTGCAAATTCTGAAATACTTAGAGAATGCTGACTGATTTGCCGGCTCTAAAATCTTCTGACTTCTCACCCTCTGGTGTGCTTTAAAGATCCCTGAAGATACCATTGAAAAAGCCAAAAGTATGCCATAATCAAGAAATCTATCCATCAGTCAATCAACAAACCCTAGGTATACAATACTAAAAGCCTAACAACCCCTGCCCTCAATGAGCTTACTGCCTACATTAATATATAAAGGATACATGCAAAATGAATAGGTCATTCATTTAGCAGAAAAGACCCTATCAGATTGGATGATGACCAAATCCCAAACTTAGTGGATCTTGCCCCCTCCACGATTCTGATTTTATTCTTGTCTTCCCACAAGGTTCTTAAATCTTTTTTGTCCTGGACCCTGCTGGCAGGCAGGTGAAGCCTAGAAACCCCTTCTTAGAACCAGATTTCTAAATACATAAAACAAAATACATAGGAGTACAAAGGGAACCAAAAGTTGGTGAAAATGTAATTCTTTTCTCCATTAATGTTCTGGATCCCCCTGAAATCTCTCCACAGAGTCCTTAGAGGTTCATGGACCCCAGGTTAAGAACCATTAGCTTAGAACTTTGTATTCATGACTGATCTAATTCTTCTTCAAAGTCTCCTTGAGGTGCCAGCAAAGGATTAGCACAGAGACATGCAGTGATAAGGAACTCATCAGTCCTCAGGATGTCAATGACCCTTTCTCCCCTTACATGGAGCCAAGGTCCACTTCCTCATAGGTGCTTCTGCTCATTCATCTTGGCTCTGCCCTGTAAAGCTGAGCCCAGCAGGTTGGCTCTCTCTTTCACCACCCCCGCCATGGCCTCAGTTTCCTCATCCACAAAAGGAAGGGGTTGGTCAAAACAAGTTCCCTGGCCTCTTGCAAATCTGGCGCTGTGTTTTTGACTAAACTGTAATTAACAGGAATGTTTAGGGAACAATGTGGGTGTTAGAATTTCTGGTTAACTTAGAAGATGTGATGGTGAGCCACTATCAGTGATCCCGGAAAGATTATGGTGAAAGGGATAGGTTCCTCAGAATTGGAGAAATCTACATGTTCCATTGGGCAGCTAGGTGGCGCCATAGTGCACAGAGTACCTCTACCTGGAGGCAGGAAGACTCATTTTCATGGGTTCAAATCTGGCCTCAGATACTTACTAGCTGTGTGATGCTGAGCAAAGTCACTTTAACCCTGCTTGCCTCAGTTTCCTCATCTGTAAAATGAGCTGGAGAAAAAAATGGCAAACCACTCTTTGCCGAAAAATCCCAAAACAGGGTCACTAAAAGTGACATAACTGAAAAACGCCTGAAAACAATTGGTATTAGAGAGAACACACCAGAATGGGGGCTTGATCCTTCAGGAAGTATCCCTAGGACCCCAAAAGGGAAAGTAGACACGTTTTGGGGGGACCTGACTCCTCTGTGGGAGTGCGAGTTGGGATAAAGACATAGGCACTAAGTGTCTAAGTCCTGGGAATACAAACACAAAAGTGCCAGAACTCCTCAGGGAGCTTACCTAGAAGGGAGGGTGGCCAGGGCAGGAGGTTTCCGTCTGGGAAATCATGGGCACAGTCAATGGACCCACGGGATGGTTGCCTGACACACTCTCCCAAAACGAGGCAGTGGTGGCTTCACGGCTGTTCCCAGAGCAGGGGAGAGAGGGAGGAAAGGAGGGCAGACCCAGCACAGCCCCAAGGCAGGAGCCAGAGCACCGAGACAGAAGGGGGAAAAGGTAGATTTCCGGAGCCTGGCAGGAAGATGGTCTGGAATGCTGCTCTGTCAGTCACAGCGCCAGGTCTGGGTCTGGAATGCTGCTTTGTCTTGCCTCATGCTATGAGGCTGAGCTGACTGGCCCATGGTCAGTGACTGCATCCCCAAGTATCTGTGAAGGCCTTTGACAGTTGTTTAACCAGCCAGCACAGCTCTCATCAGGTACCCTTTGTTTGAAGAAGCCCGCCAAGTTGACTGTCAAAGCCTGGAGATGGAGAGGTATGCCCCAGACAGGAATTAGGAAAGGGAAGCAGCTGAGACAGGTGATGCCGGGAGCCATCCTTCCCCAACTTCAGCCAAAGAGTAAGGCCCCCCCAGCAGTGGGGATCTGAGCCAGGGGCTGGCCTGTTTCAGCAAGACATGTTAACTACTGAACTCAAGAGGTTGTGCTCCACAGGTGAGATGCTTGCAGAAGGACCAGGGAATCCACAGCCCCTCAGGCATCACATGGAGACATGTCCCACCATGGACTGTGAGGCTGCATGGCCCCCTTAAAGAAATGTGGCTTTTGCTCCAAGAAGCCACATTTTTCATGTCTGCGTATTCTTGCGGGGAGAGGAGACCCCGGGAGCTGACCTGCCTTGCACAGGAGACACGTCAGACAAGCTGCCAGAGCAGCACCAGGGATGGGACCTGAGCAGACGTGAAAACCCTCCCTTCCATCCATCGTCTGCCCCGCTCCTCAGGACAGAAAAGATGAGATGGCACCAGCTGGTTCCTGGGTTACTTTATTTTGACAACAGCCACACAAACACATTGGGGGATGGGAAGAACAGTCAAGGCTTCTAGGCTCCAGATGTCTCCCCCAAGTTCTCCTGCCTCCTCTCCAGTCTAAGCAGTACCCACCCCCCACACTCCCACAATTTAGTTACTCATTTTTTGCCACAAGTCACAAGAGGCAGTGGAGTGCCCAGACCACTCTTCACACGCACACTCCCTGCCCCGCCCCCATCTGGACTCCACCTGGGGTCACAGGAGGCAACTTCCCCTAATGTGGATCGAATGGGCTGCAGTGGCTTTTCTCACCTGATAACATATCACAGAATAGAATGTCACAGTTGAAAGGGAGCTTAGAAACACAAAACGTTAAGGGCGTTCAAAGCATGAGATACCAGAGAGCTAACAAAGACCAAATGTCAGAGTTGGGAGGGACCTTAGGGCAGCGTCAAATTCCTCAGGTTGCACTACTGACTTGGAAAACCACTAATTAATCTTTGTTGGATTTTTATTACCTTTGTTAAATATTTTCCAATGACATCTTAATCCGGTTTGGGCCCCACTCGGGAGTTTTGCAATAATTGGCCTCAAGTTCTGATATCTCTGCCTCACAGTACAGAACGTGTCAAAACCGGGAGGGGCCTTGGAACAGGGGATGCCAGGGGTGGGAGGGGCCTTGGAACAGGGGATGCCAGGGGTGGGAGGGGCCTTGAAACAGGGGATGCCAGAGCTGGGAGAAAACTCCATTGCAAAACACTGGCGCTGCAGAAGGCTTTAGGGTCACAAAGCCCGACTGGCTCATGCTACAGAAGACGCTCTAAGTGACTCGCCCAAGGACATCCAGGGAGTTTCACTGAAACAAAGCAGGAACCTGGGGCAAACTCTGAAACAAACTGCTTCCCAACTCTAGGTGCCACATGTAGAGGGCTCTTGGAGGCCTCCGGTTACCAAGATGGCAAATGCGCCTGAGGCAGACTCGCTTCTCCCGGCAGCACCTGGCAGGCCACGAGCCTCTTCCTGTCCTGCTGCAGGCTGCAGCTGGTGATGGGTCAAGGCCTGGCTCACCAGGATGGGCTCGGTTCCCGCAGATAACCTCTCCTCTACACCAAGTAGAATCATCGGCTTATGCAGGGAACAAGCAGCCTGTGAGGGGGAGGTCCTCAGAGGGGCCAGGGTCATCCCTCTCCCACCAGAGCGCCAACAATGTCCCAAGCAATGCATAGAACGTATGGTTAAGACACATGGCAGAATGCATCGAGACCAGCCAGAGCTGGGATGGAACCACCCGCTGGCTGAGTCAGACGGGGCGCCAACAGCCTTTGGCTACGATCATTAGTGGGGCCGACGTTCCCGGGCTTCTTGACCGCCAGCCCTTTTGGTGATGACTTCGCTATGGAAAAGTGAGTGGATCCTGACCAGCTGGTCTCCCAAAAACACAATGAGGTGATTCTTGCAGCCTTTGCAACCCTAGGGAGGAGGAAATTCTGAAAAACTGAGAAATGAAGGGGGCCCTCGGAGGACTGGAGAGGCCACGTGACCACACCCGGAGCCTGGGCACAGCTGGCACGGCCCCAGCTGATCTCGCAGTCCAGTTTGGCCTCGTCCGGTCCAGAGTCTACTCATACCAGGAAGCCCCCAAAATGAGCTTTGCATAAATAAGTACGAAGGAACCAATCAGGACAGAGGGGCAGGTACCTTTTGGGAGGGGTCCTCTCCTCAGGGAAGGGGAGGCAGGAGCCATTCCAAGCTCTCGCAGGCTCAGGATCTTTGTAAGGCACTGAAATGAACCGTCGTCAGCCGTTTTTAAGAGGTGGACAGAGGGAGGGACAACTCAAGGTTGGAGAAGCCGCGAGATAATACTGTCAGTCAATTTCATGCTGGGTTGCACTGCTGCATCTCCTCCAAGCCCAATGAGGGGCACTGGGGTCGCTCAGGCCTGGGCCGTCTTCTCGACTCCACGCCATCCCTTTGGGGAGGAGTACCGCCCGCCACACCGCGTGCTCCTGCAGCATCGGGAGCCTCTCATTCCCTGAGGGAAACGGCTCCGCTACCGAGTGCCCTCAAGCCAGAGCCTGAGCCATGGGAGATTCGGAAGTGCCCACTACATGCAAGGCACTGATGGCTGGCTCCACCCTAACAGGGCTGGGCACGGCCGCAGTGGGGTCTGTGGAAGGATCTGTTTGGACCGGAGGCTAGTGGGTCATTCATTCGATGCTGCCTGGGTGAGAGAAGGCTTGGAAAGATGGCGGGAGGAAGCTAGCTGAGGAATATTGACTTTGGCAGAGCCCCGTCTGCAGACCGAAGGAGCTCCTCCCTTGCCCTGGAAATGCCACCGGCACGGGCAGGGGTGGCTCCTGAGGGCATCTTCCTGAGCCTCGTAAGCAATGGTCAGGAGCAATCCAAATTGCTTCCAGGGAACTCTGGCTTTGGGGACTTTCCATGAGTCTGAGGGAAGGGGACTGAGAGGAAAAGGCGGAGCCTTTTCATTGTAAGAGAAAGGCTATTTCAAAGAAGGCGGAGCGAGTGGGCAGAGCAGCTGAACCTGGCCTAGGCAGGGAAGGGCACAGGCTGGGACTGGGGAGGGAGAGGCTCAGTGCCGGGCAGCCTTACAGATCTTATCAAACACCTCAGGGAAGGCATCCTGGCAGTTCAGCTCCTTCCGGAGCTTGTGGTACAAAGAGCCATCAAACATCTCCCAGAACTCCTCTCGGTTCATGTAACAGTCGGCATACAGCATCTGGAACCTAGACGGGGGTGGGGATGAGCATAAGCACTTACAGAGCCCCTACTATGTGCCAGGCACTTTACCAATATTATCTCATTTGATCCTCCCAATAACCCTGGGAGGGAGGAGCTGTTATAACCATACCACAGTTGAGGAAACTGAGACAAACAGGGTTAAGTGACTTGCCCAGGGTCTCACAGCTTGAGGCTGAATTTGAACTTAGGTCTTCCTGACTCTAGACCTGATGCTCCACCCACTGCACCATCCAGAAAATTCAGAGGGCCCTCCATTTCCACCTGGTAGAACTCCAGAGCCTCAGCCAGAGAAGGGCTATCTGTCAAGGGGCTGGTGCTGCCCTCCCCTGCCCTAGGTATGTATGGCTCCTTCACTAAACAACAGCAGCCCAAGAGTACTCACCTGCCAGCACTCCAGATCCGTCTGAGCAGGGCAGAGGACCGCTGGCAGCAGGCACATACTCCCATCTTCCAACCGCCCCCACTGGACTTGTCCCGGTCTCCTGGCCCCCCCCCACACCCAGCTCTGCCAGCCCAGTCCCCACCCCACGCCTACTCACCCATGCACGCTTCGGACGAATTTCTCCATCTGCCTCATGCAAGATCTGGCTTCAAAGTGTTTCACCTGTGGCTCTCCATAGGCCCCAATGTCAACGTAGAGCTCTGTCTCATTGCCCTTGGGGTGGACCATGCCTGGTTGGCTGGGCAAGATGAATGGGCACAGCCAGATGGGATAGACCTACACAGAAGAGGGGAAGGTGTCGAGGCAGGCAAAGCCAAGTGCTGCCCGCTCACATCTAGTCAAGAAGCTGAGGGCTGGGGATAGGGAAAGAGGAGGGAACCCAGGCCCTGCCACGGTTACTGTCTATTTAGCTTGAAACTCTTCTCTCTACATTTTTGAGACACTGCGCTGGTGGGGTTCTTTGTCCACCTATCAGATTGGCTCCTTCTCCGTCTCCTTGGCTGGATCTTCATCGAGGTCACGACTGCCGCCTGTGGGTGCCCCCAGGGCTGTCTTGGTCCCTCCTCCCCCTCTATACCATCTCACTTGGTAACCTCATCAGCAACCATGGATTCCACAATGATGATTCTCAATTAACCTCTGCTGGGCTCCAATCGTACACCTTCAGCTGCCTCTTGGACATCCTGAACATGGTGACCCATTGGCATTCTGAACTCAGCATGCTCAAAACTGAACTCTTCATACCCCCCTCCTCCACCCTTCCTGGTCACCACAGAGACAACACTATCCTCCCAGGCCACCAGACTCCCAGCCCAGGTCTCGTCCTCGACCCCTCCCTTTCTAAGGCCCGCCAGAGCCTGCATGGCCACCCCACCCCTTCTCCACTGCCGCTGCCATCGCCCTGGGGCAGGCACTCCTCAGGGCAGGCCCTCCTCGCCTCTGCCTTACACAGTCGTCACATCACACCTAGACTTTGGCAGCAGCTGACAGGCTGCTCTCATTGCCTCCAACCCAGTGTTCTCCACCCAAGCTGTCAAACTGATCTTGTCCTGACTCAGTGAACTCAGGTGGCTTCCTCTGCCCTCGAGGATCAAGCATCAAACCCTGGGCTTGGTTTTCCAAGCCCTGCATAGCGACCCCTTCCCACATCCCACCGGCCTCCCTGCTGTTTATCTCCGACCCTGGGCGTCTTTCTTCGGCTGTCCCCCATGCTCAGAACGCTCTCCCTGCTCATCTCTGCTCCCTGGCTTTCTTCAAGTCAGAACTAAAACCGCCCCATTTATAAGGACCCCTCCTCGACCCCCTTCCCTCTTCTGCATCTACCTCGTTCCTACAGAGCTGCCTGTACGTTGTGTCTCCGTTAGAATGGGAGCCCCTTGACAGCAGGCACTGTCTTTGCCTTTGCCCAGTGACAAATCCAGAGCCTGGCACAAAGTAGGAGCTTAGTCATTCTTCTGTGACTGACCGACGATCTTGGGCAAGCAAATTAACCTTTCTGGGTCTCGGTTTTCTCAACCGTAAATACGGAGTTTGGCCAAAGATGGCCTCGGAGGCCCCTTTCGGCTGTAGTTCCAGGATCCTCTGCTCCCAGGACACTAGATTCCCAGAATGTTGGAGCCGGGAGAGACGCGGGAATCGTTTAAGTATCGCGTCAGTGAGTACCCGGGGATAAGCATCTGCTTTGGTCACAGCCACTGCCTGGGCCTCTCTCCAGTCTCAGTTTCCTGATCGGTAAGATCCCTGCCCTGGCCTGTGCTCCTCCCTGGGATGCTGCGGGAATCACATGCAATAGTGTGATTGGAAACGCGCCTGGAACGGCTGTGGCGGGCCACTGTCTGGTCTGTGCCCTCACAGGAGCCCAGGGGGGTGCCTTGCACCAGGCCTACCGTGGGGTTGAAGGGAGGGTGGCTTACGTGGAGGTCGTTGTGGAAGGTCTGGATGGCCCGCTCCATCACCTTCATGGGGACCAGCATGTCCTGCACCACGTGGTGCTGTTCATATAATTTACGGAGGGTCTCCCCTTGAGTCAGCTTCAGCAGGGAGATCTTGGGAGGCACCAGCCAGCCAAAGAGGAAGCGGAAGATGGGATTATTGCCGAAGGGGATGATGTCCTGAAACAGGGAAGATGGATGGATGCTGGCAGGGATCAGTCAGCCTGCCCTCCCACGGGGTGAAGGCACTCCTGAGATGCCATCCCACCGCAGAGGAGATCCAGGCTACTCGAAGACGTCCAGGGACAGAGAGCGGGCCGCCTGCCGTCAGCACCAAACTCTACCTCCCGACTCAAGAAGGTCTCTATCATACTAAGGGGAACTGAGCTCTCCGACTGGTGCCCCAGGTCCCGGCTCTCTGCGAGGGGCGCACCAATCAAATCCCACTCCATTTCCCACATGACGGCCCTCTGGCTAACTGAAGACATGGCCGCACCCCAATAAGCCTTCTCTCTGCCAGGCTAAACCTCTCTAGTTTCTAACCGTTCTTCTAGTGCCTCGGAGAGTTTCTGGCACATAGCGAGCATTTGCAAAAATGGAGGATGACTGAAAGAGTTCCTTCAGCTGAGCTGGTATATTTAATATCCCTTCCCTTGTCAACATCTCTCCTAAAAAGTGGTGCCTTCTAATGGACACAAGGTGCCCCATACAATCTAGCTAGAGCAAAAACCACCAGGATCACTGCCTCCCCGCCTCCCTCTGGACACAATGCCTGTCTAAACAGAAGAAGACCACCACGTTTTGGGGGCTGCTCAGTCACACGAGTGAGTCAGCGGTCCACTAAAACCCTCTGTTTTTTTCCCCTCTCCCTGTCTCCCCATTCTGCACCTCTTATGCAATTGATTTTTTGAACTTGGTGCTGGACTTTACATTGTCTTACCCTCAATAAATCTGATCCAGATAAATTCACTCCATCATTCCAGTCTGTTAAGGTACCTCTCACAGGGAACAAGGTTACCCATCTCCTCAAAGATACAGGGTGTCCCAAAAATCTTAGTGCCGCTTTAGGCTATTAAAAATTAAAAGTTTTAGGATGCCCTAAAGATAAAGCTCCCAAGGAAAAGTGCTTTCATTGAATTAACCTCCTCAGGAGAAAGGCCCTCTCTGCCTAAGAAGAGAACCCCAAGACAGGGATGAATTCTAGAATCCCACCTCTTGACAAGCAGGAAAAAAATCGTTCTTTAATGAAGATGAGGTAGGGACCCCCTGCCCCACGGTCCTAGCCTCACCTGGAGTTCCCAGAAGATGCTGCGAGTGTGACGGTGGTAATAGTGTCGCAAGGGGATGTACTCCAGCCCCTTCTGGTTCTTCTTCAGGTACTCCTCCACGTGCTTGAAGAACCAGGGCTTGTAGTAGTCACCAATCCTGTTCAGCTGTAGGGAGGGACAGACAGAAGGAGGCCAGGTTACCCACAGATTTCGGAGGACGGCTTGAAAATGGGACCAACGGACCTTGTATCTTTTGGGCACTTGACATCTCTTCAAAGTGGAGAGAGCCTAGGACAGGAGGAGGGGTCTAGCTCTGGCCTTTCCACCATATTGTGTGACCTAAGCCACGTCGCTCAGTGCCTCTGGGCCTGCAGATCTAACTATGAAATAAGGGAAAAGGTGGATTAGATCGGCTTTGAACTCTGGTGTTCTATCAAGGTGTTCCAGAGTCCCGGTCAGCTCTGCCATCCCCTGTTCTAAGGCCCTCCCTCCCCCAGCCCTGACATTCCCTGTTCTAAGGCCCTCCCCCCCAGCCCTGATATTCCCTGTTCTAAGGCCCCTCCCAGCTCTGACACTCCCTGTTCTGAGGCCCCTCCCTCCCAGCTCTGACATTCTGTGTCCTGGGCTTCTCTTTCACCTCTCTTCATTTCTTTCATCATCTGTGACTAGCAGAGGAGCAGCAGCATTCACGTCTCCCCCACACTCCTCATCTCCTGCCTGTTATCAGGAGTCAGAGTATTTACATCACCCAGGTCCCTCCTAACAGACTAGATGCCAAGGGCCTGGTGACCCTGGTTACTGGACTGGATGATCTCCCAGGGCTTCCACAAGCGGACTGCACTGGGTGGATGCTTCAGGCTGAATTATGTAAGTAGGTAATGTAATTATGTAAGAAATGCAGCCCAGGGCCGAATTACTCAGGCCCTGTCCTACTTGCCAGGACTGCTAGGGAGTTCAAAGGGAGAAATGTCAGGCCAACTCAGTCCTCTGTGCGTTTCCCAAACATGTCGATTTAACTCCATAGTGAGGCCAGCATTATGGGCCAACTGCAATGCCAGGGACCTCAAGGAGCCAATGTCCTACACAGCAAATACAAAACCGATCAAACGTGAACGACGGCCGAGGGGAAGTCGGGGCTCCTCCTTCCTGCGCCTGGAGCCAGAGAAGAAAGGGAGCACGGCCTGTGTGCGACGAGGGGAAAGGGGGGAATGGCTGGATGTGTCGGAACACAGCATGGATGAGGGGACAGAGCATTTAGTAGGGCCTCGGCTCGCCTGCTGTCTGTTCTAGGGGCCCGGCCACGCAAACACCAAGGGAGAGCAGATCCTGCCTCCAGGAGCTGACCCGATGCTTTCCTGGCTCTAGTTGGCTCGCCTGTCTATACTCTGGCCTCTCCTCAGCAGAGCCCCATGAAGCAGGAAGCAGGAAGCAGAAAGCAGAAGAGGGTGGTCCCCATTTCTGAACAGAGAGCTGAGGCTCAGGGAGGAATCACCCAGCTTGGAAGAAATGGAAGGCACTCTGTGAAGCCCCCCACTCCAGGCAGCGAGGCTGCATTCCAGCCAGATGGAGGCTTTCCTTCCTCCCAATCCTGGTGATAATAGTGTGCATTTATGAAGTGCTGGGCAAACTTTAAGGCCTTGCTCCCCCCCAACAACAGAAAGAGGTCATTGTGATCACAGGGACCAGACTCAAAGTGGTTAAGGGACTGTCCCAGGGCCATACAGCTAGTAACAGTATGAGACAGGATTCAAACTCAGGGCTTCTTGAACCCCCCAAAACCAACACTAGCCATTGCCCCACCCAGTAACACTGGGTCTGTATCTGTCAAGAATTTGGGACATTGTGGGGATGGGGTGGGGGAGAAGGGGAGACAGGCACAACCTTGGCTGTAATTCTAGGCAGAGTAGGTAGGTGCCTCAGGAAGCAGTGTCAGGGGTCACTCAGGCCATGGGAAACTGAGAGCTCTGTGTGTGTGTGTGTGTGTGTGTGTGTGTGTGTGTGTGCGCGCGTGTGCACACGCACACACACCCATGTGAACTGGGAAGGGGAAGACGAGTAAAGTCTGGAAGATTCCATCCACCAGTGGAAGTGGGAACCCTGCAATCCTGACTGCTGTCCATGGAGAGCCTGGAGCCTGGCCAGGGCTTCTCAGGACCCTCTGCACTTCACATCTGGCTTTTTCTCTGTCTCCCATGATACCAAGCACAGGACCAGAAATCTTGAGGGCTCAGTCACCAGTCAATAGAACCAATGAGCGACGGAAGTACCACGGCTCTGAGCTGAGCTGGACCTAATCGCAGGGACACTGAGTCAGAGCCGACTGAGAACCCCAACCAGGGGTCATCATCGGGCCCCACTGGAAGTCATCTTTAAATCGGAATGAGATTTCTAAAGCACACACACTTAACTTTGCGAACCTCAAAATGCTACGTGTCAGCTAATACGACTATTATTACAAATTATAATTATTATTATCATTACACAGGAACTTTGTTGTTCAGTCATTTCAGTCTTGTCTGACTCCTCACGACGCCATTTGGGGTTTTCTTGGCCAAGATCCTGGGGTGGTTTACCATTTCCTTCTCTAGCTTATTTTACAGATGAGGGAACTGAGGCAAACAAGGTTGAGTACTTGCCCAGGGTCACACAGCTAGCAAGTGTTGAGACCAGATTTGATTGTAGGAAGATGAGTCTTCTGGTTCCCAGCCTAGCCCTCTGTGCTCCATGGCGCCACTTAGCCACCATTACAGAAGAAAAGCTTCTATAAATACCATTCCGTTCTCCTTGTTAGGACATCTGCTGCTGCCTTACTGTAGAGTGGAAATAACTCAGAGTGGGAGACAGAAGAGCTGGGCTGCAGCAGAGCTCGGACCCCACTCACAGCCTTCCCAGTCCCTTCTCTGAGCCCGTGTGCCCTCTAAAGCAGGGGAGGGATGCAGAGCCCCGCTTTCTCTGGGGTGGGGAGGCTTTCCTTCCCCCATCCCCTCCACTGCTCCCCTTGTCCTCTAAGACCACCCTGTCTTACTCCTTCCTCCTTGTCTGTCCACAGCTGTTTGCAGGTTGTCTTTCCGTTAGACTGGAAGCTCCCCTGAGGATAGGGCCTGCTTTTACCTTTCCCTGAGACCCTAGAGCTTAGCACGGTACATGGCTCATGGTAAAAAAAAAAAAAAAAAAATGCTCACGGACAGACATGTCCCTCAGACTTCAGCTCGGGGCTGGCCAGGCCACCCCTTCCCTTCCCGTGCCCTCACACGGCCAGCTGGTCCGGTCAGCATCGTGCCGACACCCTCCCCCTCGGCTGGGCAGCGCCCACTGGGGCTGGCAGCGAGTCACCTCTTTGAAGGCAACAAGCCTGTCTGGATGTTCATGTATTCAGATGCACCAAAACTCTCTTAGGGAGGGCCTAGGGCCCTCGGAAAAATAAGGGGGCTCTGCAGATGTCGAGGCCGTTTGCCTTGTGGCTCCTGGACGGTATCTTATCCTCTGGATCTGTTTCCTCTTCTGTAAAAATAGGAGTTTTCAGCTAAAGAGAGGCCTCTGACGTCCCTTCCAAATCCAACAGTCCAGCTTTTTATGTTGAATCATTCCCTGTTCTAAGGCCCTCCCAGCCCTGACATTCCCTGTTCTGAGGCCCCTCCCAGCCCTGAAATTCTAGCTTCTAAGGCTCCATCCAGGGAGTTGGCGGTGCCAAGCCTGCTTCCTTTTCTGAATACAGAGAAACAAAACAAAACACAGATGATTCCTCATAGCTGCAACCCCAGCCTGGGCCTGGTGTAACTGTTGTGTCCCTCCCTGCACAGTGACCTCTGCCTTCACCAGCATTCAAACACCCTGTGCTGAGCTGTTTGTTAACATGTCCCAGGCAATCGCTGCCAGATGCCAAGTCAGCAGCAAAGAATGCTTGGTCTGTCTGTGTCACTGGCTAGAGTTGGGGCTGGGAAGGCCACGCCTCTGTCCCCAGGAAGGGATGGCTGGGGGCAGTGGAGAAGGGGGAACCAAGGCGGCGGCCCCAGAGACCGCTGCGAGTCAGGAGACCTCGGTCCAAGGCCTTGCCCTGTCACTGAACCAGAGAAATGTGGGTTAGCGAGCTCGGAGATCTCTCTCTCTCTCTCTCTCTCTCTCTCACACACACACACACACACACACACACACACACGGAGTCACTGGGGGGAAGGGAGAGAAGAGGCCAAGAGAACATCTCCAAACTACAGCTCCGTCCTCAGTTCTCCCTCTCCTGCCCTCCTAGGCCTCTGAGTGCCGCCTGCATGCTTCCTACTCCCCCAGTTCTATCTCCAGCCCTGCCCCTCTTCCCAGCATCACTTTGCCTGGAAGCCTTCCCTGTCACCCGGCCTCACGTGGACCCCGAGTCCTTCCCTGTTACCTCCCCGTTTGACAGCTGGCACTTTTCTCCAGAACTTAGGCTTTCACGGGATAATGAGGTTTGTTTCCTGGTGTTTCTTTGATATTTTTACCAACTCTGGACTCACTTCCCCAAAGCTGGCCTGGTTCTCTGGTGCAGTGCAAAGTATCCTGGATTCGCCTCCTTGTGACCTTGGGCAGGCCTCAGTTTTCTCATTTGTAAAATGGGGATCACAAGCCCACACTGCCAGGGGAGCCCTCCCACAGACACATCTACGAGCTCTTCCCTCAGCATATACAGGCCCTGTGGTCCTGTTCAGACCCCGAGCCCCATAAGGACAGAGAGCATCTCACTCAGAGTCGCAAGGAACCGCAGAGGCGATCAGTGAATCCCACACTTCTAGGGGCAGAGTGCCCAGCACTGGCCTCCCACCAAGGAAGGCAGCACCATCTACGGGGCTTAGGGGAAAGGCCGATGCATTTGAGGCTAAAGGTTCAAATCTTGCCTTTGTCACTAACCACCCTGAGTGACCTCTCCTGGCCTCAGTTTCCTCATCTGTAAAATGAAGGGGCTGTGCTCAAGGACCTTTAAGGTCCTTCCTGGCTCTAAGTTCCTGATCCCAGGCACAGTGGGAAAAGGCACTGGGCTTGGGGGAGGACACTGGGGTTCAAGCCCCGCAGGGAGACCTGCCAGCTGGCTGGGTGGCCTTGGGCCCCGGGGACCTCGCCGAGCACAGGACTAGCAGTTCCTCAGTGTGACTGCTGGCAAAGTGCTTCATGAGCAGGCAGGAAGTCGGAGTTCTCAGGGGAGGCAACGCTCTTAGGACATCAGAACTGGAAGGCACGTTAAAAATCACCCAGCCTCATGACCTTGTTTACATACGGGGAAACTGAGGCTCAGGTATGGAAATGACTTGCCGAATATCCCATTACAGGTCATGTGCACGGTGCGCATGTCAGGGGCCCGATTCCACCACGTCACAGCCCTGTCCTATCACCAATCAGAGCTGGACCCCCTCCCCCCACCTCTACCTTGCTCGGATCCACATCGTCCGTCATGACACCCGTCATGATGACCGCCTCCTCCAGGGAGTACAGCAGGCCTTCCACAAAATGGTTCTCCTTGCGCTGGGACTCCTTGGCAAACTTGGCGCAGATCTCCTTCAGGCCGCGCACGGGCTCCAGACACAGCTTCACGTACTTCTTGGCGGGAATGATCCGGATCTCTGCAGCAACCAGGAAGCCCAGCGTGCCGCAGGACCAGGGCACAGCGTAGAACAGGTCCGAGTTCTCCGTCTGCAAACACACCCCCCCTCTCCAGCTTGTCTCCCCCATCAGACCGTAAGCTCCTTGGGGGCAGGGGCTGTCCCTCACCTCTTTTTGTATCCCCAGTGCTCAGCACAGTGCCTGGCACACAACAGGAACACATTCAAAGCCGACTGACTGATGGTTAGGTGGCAAGGAGGAGGAAAAGGAGTAAACACCTTGGCTGTCCCCCCTCCCCTGCCTCTGGGTCGACTCCTCCGCTGGACAAGGTAGGTACTGAGCTAGCTCACCTCCCAGGCCCCTTCAGCCCCCCGGTACGATGGTTCTACGCTCACGGGTCCGAGGGGAGGGGCAGTTTTCACTGTGTCTTTGTATTCCCAGCATGCCTCGCTCACAACAGGTTCTCATTAAATAACTGTTTGCTTTGCAATGTACAGCTACCCTGTCAGAGGCTGTGAGAAGACTATTCTTCCCATTACATTTCAGGTCCCTAGAGAGCGGGGCCTGTTGTCTTCCGTCTTCGCCTCTGCACTGCCAAGCAGAGTTTGTGGAGTGAATCAACAACCAAGAAACATGCGCTTGTGACGAAGGTAGGCCTAGGATGGACCCCCCCGCCCGCTCCCCAATGCCCTCCCTTCCTCTTCTTTTCCTTACCGGTGAACACCGCACGAAGCTCCCGTCGGACAGGACCAGCTCATAGGCTGTGCAGATGTGCTGGAACAGCCCGAACCTGTGAGACGAGGACTCAATGCCGGTGCCCATGATCAGGCCTCCTGAATGGAGAGAGACACATCTCAGGCCCAGGACCTTCTCTCCCAGGGAATGCTGTGCCTGGCGTCCTGAGGTTTTGCCAAAGGGGGTCACAGGGAGCTTACGTTTTAAAGCCAGAGTACTTGTGCTCAGATCCTGGTTCTACCCCTTACTACCCACATCTCGTCAGGCAGATTACTAATGAGTGGTTTACACTGATGATCTGTGATCATCTGTGAGCCCTTTGAACTCAAATACTGCAGACCCTATGGGGTGAGGGGGATGGCAGCAGGCCCATCCCACTGAGTTCTCAGCTCTAAATCTTAGAGGCCATCTCGTCTAGCCCTCCCATTTTACACATGCAGAAACTGAGGCCCAGGGACACTAGGTGACTTGCCAAAGATCAAACGATTGGCAGTCCTGGCCCCAAAACCCCAGCTGCAATACCTAACCCTTCCGAATCCTCTTCTCTACACCAGGGCACCTAAGACCTCTGGATCATCCTCTCCTGGGCACTGTTACCCACGTCTAATCCCTCCAGAGCGGAGGTTCTTAACATGATCATAACTAATTCGCTATAATTGGTTTTCTTTGTAATCTGGTGTATTTTATTTCATGCCTTTTAAAGCATGATTCTGAGAAGTGGTCCAGGACACACAGAAAATGGTGAAGTGCCACCTGGCCTGAAGGAGAAAGGGAAAGATGTGAGACTTGTCATGGGCACCTCCACTGAGTCTTTTTATTTGTCAAACAAGCCTAAGAACCCCTTAAGTACCTGGCTCAACTAAACCTGCAAATGCCAGAGACCCACGTCACCCTCTCAGACTCAGCTTCCTCATCTTCAAAATGGGCTTATCTCAGGGTTGTGGAAAGGGAAACATGTTCTAAGTGGAAAACTGCCACATGCAATTAAAATAATGACAAGTGTAATGATTAAAAGAAAAAAGCCACAAGCATTCATTCAGAGCTTACTACAGCCCAGGGATGTGTTAAAGGCTAGAGAAACAAAGAAAAAGCAAAAATAGTCCCAGCTCTCAAGGAATTCACTTCCTAACATCCTCCTTAACACACAAATATGTTTGTAAGGCACGTGTGTCAGATAGATGCTTATCATATATTTGTATTTACATATTAAAACCACCCAGCACTTTAATCCTTGTTCAAGTATTCTATGAATATTCCTCTCATTACATAATCCTTACAACCAGAATAAGGTGCTATGGTCATCCCCATTCTCTAAATAAGGAAACTGAGGCTTACAGAAATCGAGTAATTTGGCTAGTCACACAACCACCAAATGGTCTCAGGCAGCATCTGAACGCAGGTCCTCCTGATCCCAAAGACAACGCTCTATCCACTGTGCCTCCTAGACAGACACCTACTTGGGAAATAATGGAAGGGGGGCTCCAGGAAGAGCAAAGCATCGGCATTGGCCAACACCGTCACCCCTCGGCACTTTGTCTCCATCTGCTTATATCTGAGCCGAGGAGAAAAGCCCTAGAAGGAGGGAAGGCTCTGGGTTCCTGTGGCCCACATCATCTCTGCTCAGTCCAGGATGCTGGCTGTGAGCCTGTACCTTGGCCCCAGAGCTAACGCAGATGGGCTCCCTCTTTTTGAAACAGAGACTTTCTGCACACAGATACACACGGAAGCACACGCGGAGCCCCTAGGATCCTGGGCTGCAACGTTCTTGCTGCCCCCACCCTCTCCGATGCCATCTGGGCTCAGGACCTGCTGTCTCAGCCTCCCACTCCCTGGGCCTTCCAGGGGCACAGAAGTTGCTTCCCGTCCCTTCTGGTCCATCTGTCTTAGCTCACCATTTAGATTATGATCAACGCCAGGCCCTCAACCAAGGAGTTACCTGGTAAGAGATTACCGGCTGCTCCTGGCACCGTGCCCGGCTGCCATGGCCCACGCCACTGCCATGGGGTGAATACGGACCAGCGCTGCCCATCATGGGTTTCCCCTGACAGTCGTCCAGGAACCTTCCCTCCCTTGCAGCCCAGGGTCACGGCAAGCAGGGCTCTGGGCCCGGAAGGCCTTGAGGAGCTAGCAGCCTCGTCCTTTCACAGATGAGGAAACTGAGGCTACAGGAGGCAGGGCAGGGGCCTAAGTCACTGGCTCCCCTGCCGTCAGGTCCAGACCCCTTTCCACACTGTGCGGGTAGTGCTTGAGGCTCCGGTTTAGAGAGGAAAGCTAACAGGCTAAACGGGGCCCTGGTCTTCGGGCTCTGCATCCCAACCCGTGTCTGCGACAGCGTCACCACCACTGGCGGGGACAGCGCTTCTGATCCCGCTCCCCTCACAGCCACCACGCCTGGCAGAGGTGTCTGGCTTTGGAGCCTCTACTTGTAGGGCGTCTGGGGCCACGCTCAGCATCCCCTCCTCTCTTCCATTCACTTGTCTTCTGGTAGGTGGCTCATTCCTGGGTCTCCTCCCACACATCTGACCATCCCTCAGTCTCAGCGTGTCTGTCTGTCTGTCTGTCTTCCCCGCTTCTGAGCTGCCATGGATCCACCTATCCTCAACAGGCTTGTACCCATCTCTCAGGTCTATACATTCATCACTGATGCCTCTCCCATGCCCTCATCAGAGCTAGAAGGGACCTTAGAGATCACCTAATCTCGACCCCTCGGGCTGGGGAGGCAGAGCGAGGTCTGAGGCCCCCTCCCCCCAGGCACCGTGTTCCTTACAGCAGGCAGGGTGGCGCTGTGAGGGGTGCACCCAGGACCTGGGTGCAGACCCCAGGAGAGGTCATTTCCTCCAATGGGCCTCGGTCTTCTCATCTATAAAATGGAGAGGCTGAATATGACAAGGCCTTCCAGCTCTAAAGCCACACCCCTAAGTCCAAAAGTTCAGCCCCCCGGTTTCACTGAGGGGGAAACAGGCTTGGGAAGTGACGCGTCTGGGTTGAGGTCACCCAGGCTGTGCACTCTCCAACATCCTGCCCTGCCTCCTGAGGGGGCCTGTCTGCCCCCGCCTGCTCCTCTCTGCCTGCCTTTCTCTGGGGGGAGCTCAGAAGCAAGCTCACTTTCAATACTGGTAGGTAAATTCTGCAAGCCCCTTCTGACTCACCTGGGAAGGGTCAGCTGTGCTCCTGACTGGGGGCAGGCTGGGGTCCCAGAAGGTCCAGACTCTACCCTCCTTCAACTACCACCTCAGGGGCTCCTGGACAAGCCCCCAGCTCAGGTGACAGCCCCCGTGGCCCAAGGACATCCTCAGCTCAGGTGACGGCCCCCGTGGCCCAAGGACATCCTCAGCTCAGGTGACGGCCCCCGTGGCCCGGGGCCACTTTGTCCAGGTAATGGCCCGAGCACCCCCACACTCCACCCCAGACAGCACCATCTCACCTACTGTGAGGTCATCCAACTCAGGGAGAACCGGCAGAGTCCAGCCGACAGAATTCAGCAGAGCCGTCACCTGCCCCATGGTGACCAAAGGCTCCACCAAGACAATCTTAATAAAAGAAAAAAGAGAAACGCTGAATGGGATGAAGGAGAGGAAATGAGCATTTACACAGTGCCAGGCACTGTACTAAACACTTTACAAACATGACCTCATCTGATCCTCACAACAAACATGGAGAGGTACTGTTGTCATCCCCATTTAACAGTTGAGGAAATTGAGGCAAAGAGGTTAAGTGACTTGTCTAGGATCACATATGTAGTGGGTATCTGAGGCTAGATTTGAACTTGGGTCTTCCAGACTCCAGGCCCAGCCCTGGATCCTCTGCTTTTGATCCAGCTGCCTCCCCGGCACAAGCCTTTACCATCTGCCTACAAACAGGCCAGCTTACAGCCTCAGGGGAGATCTGACCACCTGCCCAGAGGGTCTCCAGGAAACCTGCAAAGATCTGACTGTGGGTGAGTGGGCGCCTCCCCTGCCAGGCCTCCCTTTACTCCCGTTAGGAGGGCTGGACTATCGCCGCCCATGTCTCTCCTAGGTCTTGATGCTCTGAGACCGGCACTTTCTCTAGGCCCATAATTACAGTCACGCTCAGCTCCCAGGGCTTCGCCAGGGCCCAGAAACAATGTAGGTGGAAGCAGGTCTAAATTGCAGCACAAAGGATCTGGGGGATCATTAATTTCGTTATTAAATCCAGGATGAGGCCAGAGAACAGGCTACTCATAAAGCGTTCTCCTGACCTAGCCCACTGGGCCACCCCACGCTCCTCGGAAACGCGGGCCAGCCAGTGCACCAAGGGCGCCACTCACTCACCTGCCGCTTGGTGTCCACTTCCAGGATGTCCATCAGGTTGATCATGATGTTTTTGTGGGTTTTCTTGTACTTCCCCACTCGCAGTGACACTGTGAGCCACCCTGGTCGGCCTGTGCACATGAAAGTCTTGCTTCCTTCTTCCTTCCATTCCCGCACCTGCAAGACACAAGGGACCAAAGCCTTGAGTGTTCCTGCTTCCTCAGAGCATCCAAGACCTCATTCCAATCTGGGCTCCCCCTAGGGCAAAGCCACAACCTTATGACCTCTCTAAGCAATCAGTCCAAAAGCTTTTATTTCATCCCTACATGGTCAGGCCCTGGCCTAAGCACTAGAGATGATATCCAGGCAAAACACAAAAACCAGCCCTGACCTCCAGGAGCTTACCTTCCTTAGGGAGCCCACACCCAAGAATGCAACACCCAGATAATAAATACCGGAGCATTTGGAGGCAGGGAGGAATTAGGGGTAGGGACAAGACCAAAGGCCTCATGGGGAAGGTGGTGACAGGGTGGTGCTGCAAAGAAAACGGGGGGGCGCCGGACAAAAGCAGGGAAGTGGAGATGCAATGTGACCTGGGAAGAGCAAGGAGGCCAGTTTGGAGGAACAGCTGTGTGTGGGTGGTAAGTCTGTACTGGACTCCAGAGAGAAATCTCAGTTGTTCACCAAGTAGCTTGGGAGACTGGAAACTCTCCAGGGGAGGAGTTTCCAATCTCTTGGTAGAGGGAATGTTCCCACTGGGACTCCCCCCCACATTGACGGAAGGAAAGAAGGAGGGAGGGAGGGAGGAAGGAAGGAAGGAAGGAAGGAAGGAAGGAAGAAATTAAAAGCTGGTTCCTCCCTCCCCCTCCAAAAAAGCCCAGCGATAACAAGAGGCCTGCCCTAAGGTCATCTACCTGGCTAAGTCAGGCCTAGAAGCCCAGGCTTCATCCCAGTAAAGTGAGGCTCAGACTAGATCACAATCAGTGCTTCCTCCACCTGCCGTAGGACTATCACTGCCCCAGTCCAGGACGCCAGGGGCCTGCAGGAGAGCGGGCGTTCTACGTGCTGCTGAGCTTCCAGCTCCTGCCGCCTGCAGGCAGACCCACTGCCTAGCTGGCTTCCACCCAGCCCTCTCCACACTAGTGAAGTTCATTGTTTAGACTCTGAGTATGGGACTTCCTGAAGACTCAGGATCCTGGGGTTGGACAGCAATCTCCTCTGACAGGCCCAGCCCAAGCCGGCCAATTCTACTTTCATACAGCTCTCACTCAAGTGTTCTGTTTTCCAGACCTCTGCAGAAACCTGCCTCCCTGGGATTTCCCGAGCTGATAAGGGCTGCACGTGTCTCAAACTTTTTTAACCTCCCTCTAGCACTGGTCACATAAGAGGTGCTTATCACAGAATTCCTGATAGATCAGACAAGGTAGGCACACTCAACATGTGAGGCCCTTAACTTTCTCCAGCTAGCTACTGGGACAGGGGAGGACACTTTCTGGCACCGTCCACTCTGGGCCCCACCCTGTGGTCAGGCTGTTTGGTTTAGAGCTGGAAATGGTCTCAGTCATCTCATACAACCCACTCATGTTACAAATGGGAAAAATGAGGTCAAGAGAGGGAGGTGACTTGCCCAAAGCCCCACAGGCAGAGCTAGGATCTGAAGCAAGGTTTTGACCCAAAATCGCCTGCCCTTTCCAATTCCTGATGGGCAAAACAATCTAGAACTGGCATTCCAGCCCCTTCATAAGCTGGACACCTTGCTTAGGAATGGACTTAATCAGGACTGATTTGAGTCCCAGAGGGATGCCCTTCCCCCACCCCCACTTTCCCCCTTTGGTCACCTCAGCCCTTTTTTGTCCCTCATCTGAAGAGTAGCTCCCAGGAGCTTAGAGAAGCCAAACTACTCACATGGCTCTCCCCTCAGCCCCCAAGGCAGGCAGGGCAGGGCTTAGGGAGGCCCTACCCTGTCAGTTTCACAGAAGGAACACTCTCCAATGTCAGTTTCACAGAAGGAACACTCTCCAATGTCAGTTTCACAGAAGGAACACTCTCCAATGTCAGTTTCACACAAGATCTCAGATGTCAGTTTCACATAAGTGTCCACTATGGCTCAGAGAGGAAAACAGAGGCTGGATGGTGGGAGAGACCTTAGACACCCTCGAGTCCGACACCCTCATTCTACCCAAGAGTAAACTAAGAGGGGAAGTGACTAGTCCAAGGTCACACCGGAAGAGCTAAGACTCTGGAGTCTTCCGCACTGTCAGGACAAAGGGCCTTGATCTTCAACATTCCATTTCCCACCAACTACACTGCCTGGTTTTGATTCTACCAACATCATTCCTCCAGCCACTACCTTCTGGTGGCCTGCTCTCCTTCAACTTCCTTTTGTATGTCTTCTCCATTAGATTGCAAACCCCATGAAGGCAGTGACTATCTTTGTTTTTCTTAATTGTATCCCCAGCCCTTAGTGCCTGGAACACAGCAGGCAATTAATAAATGTTTACTGATTACTGTCTATTCGGCAACTAGGTGGCTGGTGGACAGAGCACTGGACTAGGAGTCGGAGAGACCTGAGGTAAGATCTTGCCTTGCACACTAGCTGTGTGACCCTAGGGAATTCACTTGAACTCTGTAAGGCTGAGTTTGCTCATCTGCAAAATGGGAATAAAAGTCCCTAAATCTCAGGGCCATTCTAAGGAACACATGATATAACACTCATAAAGTACTATGGAAACTGACAATGCTCTCAAGAGGCTTCCTGATAAAGCAGTGTGGGGACCTCCCAGGGGGCAGAGGCGCAGCCCAGACTGGCGGCCAAGAGACCTGGGTTTGAATTCCACCCCTCTCTCCAGCTATGAACTACAAACAGGTCCCCTCCCCTCTCTGGGCCTCAGTTTACTCTTCAAGAGGAAATTCCAATTCCTAATCAAGGAGACTGAATTCGATGATAAGTAAGGTCCTTCCCTCCTCCTCCTGCCTTCCTTCTCGGCTCAGCTCACATCTCACCTGGTGCAGGCCTTTCCTGGTCGGCTCAACTGCCGGTGCCTTCCCTCTGCTGGTAGATATTTGCCCCTTTCAGAGTATAAGCTCCCCAAGAACAAGCACCTCAAGATTACATTCTAATCAGAGAAGATAAGTCTACATCTACATCAGCTAGGAGGTAGTGCCTGGGCTGCACCTGAAAGGCATCCGAGCACTGAGATAAGGAAGGAGGGTGCCCCAGGCAGAGGGCACAGTTTATGAAAACGAGTGGAGGGCAGGTCAAAGTTGGAAGGGATCGAAGTGGGACTGGGTCCAGTTTAAGTGATGTACCCAAGGTCACACAAGTCGTAAGCACCAGAGACAGGAGTTGAACCCAGATCTTCTGACTACCAAGTTGAGGCAAAAGCTCCCCCTGGTTCATTTTGAGGGAAGGTCACACTTGAGCACCCAACAATTGCAAGAGAAGTTACAAGGGCAGCCTCAGTGGCAGCAGATCTCAGAATCCAGAGAGTGGCGCAAAGCTGGGAGGTCAGAGCAAGGTTAGGGGCTCAGGGCCTGGAGTTTGAGGGGGTTTAAAGGGTCCAGAGTAGGACCAGGCACTCTGCTGAGAGGCTCCTGGAAGCTGTGGTGGTCTAAGACACAGTCCAAGGTCCAGGGGGGTGGGGCTGCCTTATCTAACCAATTCTTCTCCAGCAACATGGAAATACTCCATCTCCACCCCAGTTTGGTTGGTCTTCCTCTGCTCTCCTTTCCCAGCAGCAGCTTGGCCAGGGTGGGCTTGACAGAAACAGAACTAAACTAAAGCTACACCTTCTCCTTTTATTTGCTTGCCAGCCCAATTCACACCCACTGTTACAGGTTCAGATCAAGTCTAAGGTCTCCAGGAAATCCAGAATTTAAGAGAGAAAAAAAACCAACCACTTGGGTTTGAATCCTGGCTCTTAGCTTACTTAACCACCTTTTTTTCCTGTGGCAAGTCATTTTAATTTTCTGAGCCTCAGTTTCCTTATCGGTAAAATGAATGGATTAGATCTCAGAGATCATCTAGCTTTTTCACCCCCTCTTTTTACAAAGGAGGAAACTGAGGCCCAGAGACGGGATGTGGCATTTTCCTAGTCCCTCAGATAAGAAGGAATAGGGGAGAAATCCAGGGATGATAGTAATAGGGGCCACTAATTTGGTTAATCAAGGTATCAAGCCTCCAAACACCAGAGAAGTAGGAATCACTCTGTCTCCTGCCTCTTCTCTCCTCGATGGCTTCTCCAGGCTCTACCACAACCCTCCTCCATGCCACATCAGGTCACAGAGCATGAGGGTATTACCGACAGCCCGAGAAGGAGTCAGGCCCCTCAGCCTGGATGAGGGCAGGGGTAAGGCAGCCGGGTACTCTGTGGTACCTGGTGCTCAGGCTGGCTCCAAGGACGCTCCACCTCGTTCCCTGGGACCCTTTCCACGATCACAATTAAACCAGCGCTGCCATTGCTGCTAGAAAGGAGTTGTCAATCCACCCCTCCCCATCTCTGGGACTCTGCAGACCAATCTCCCTCCTTGGCCAACAAGCCCCCCCATCTAGATGAATATCTCCCTTCCTGAGGCCAGGCCTGGCTTCACGGGTTTATCTGCATTCCCAGGACTTAGCCCAGAGCTTGGCAATGGATGGAGCAGTTATTAAGAGCCTACGATGTGCCAGGACCTGGCGCACAAGTACAAAGAATGCGACAATCCCTGACCTAATGGAAGAGGAGACAAGACAGACAGACAGAGAATAAGCCCTAGCACTGAAGACTGAGTTAATTTAAAACGGTATTTTTCATACCCCTGGCAGCCAGCTCAGGGCCACGGAACAGGGAGGAGCTTAATAAGTGCTTGTGGACTGACAGGCAACGCTCTGCCGTCCATCCCCCGGGAGGTCTGGGCTCCAGCTTTGAAGCTAGGCTGTGTTACCTCCAGTCTCTGAGCTGACCTCCAGCCACTCTGCTCTGATCCAGATCTTAATATTGCTGTTATCTCTGGTAGCTGCTGATCCAGATCTGCTTGGTTCCTCCTCAGCTCCTGCCAAGATCTTGGGGTTTCCAAAGTTCATCTCCACTCGTACACTTGCCGATTTCAATGTGGCCCTGAGGGCCATCGAGTTTACAGGCAGGTCCTGATGCGGCCCCTCCTCCGCAGGTGCTGATCATTCACCCTGTGGCCTTGGGCCGTGGCCTCCCAGCACCCCTCCTGAGGCTGCCATAGTGATGGGAAAGGAAGCAGCCAGAGGTCCCAAGTTCAAATCTTGTTATGGCACCTGTGGGACCCTAAGCGAGTACCGTGTTCCCATTTCAGTGACATGAAGGTATGGTTGATTAAGCCGGGAGCTGGCTTCTCTTGGGACAGCCCACCATGGACGGGAGTGAGCAGGAAACGACCAGCCTCTTCTCCACAGACTGCTTCAGTTCCTGCTGTCTCACCTCAACCTTTTCTTCTCCAGTACACCTGGCCCCAACTCCTGGGCCCTGTTTCTCTTTCCTCCTAATGCCTCTCTCCCACCCTTGAGCCCAGGGGTGATGGGCTCCCCAGTGGGGCAAGTGATGCACACAGGAAGGAGTTTGGTGTGGGGAGTTCGACCTGTCAGATACAAAGTAAGAGTAAAGCCATGGATCCTCCAGACAGATGCTGGTGAGGGCATCCCCTCTGACTGTGGTAGACTCCAGCTGCCCCCTCCCCCCAAGCAGGCACTTCCATGAATGGTTGTGGCTGGAAATATGGCCAGAGCCTCCTAGGCAGGAGGGCTTGGGGCTCTTGGGAGGACTGGCCAGAGGCAAAGGCCAAGCTCACCTCCCATACTGTGAAGCACATAGGGGGTAGTGCAGTGGTCACAACACCAATTATGGGAGCTGAGTTCAAATCCCACCGCTGACACCCATTGGCTGTGAGAGCCTGGGCAAATCACCTCTCAGTGCCCTAAGCAGCCATCTCAGGCACAGAGCAGATGATCTGCTCAATAGGAAACATGAAATCACAGGTTGGGTTAAAAAGAAATAAATACAAATTAATACAAATTTAGAGGCCTCCAGTGGCACAGTGGGTAGAATGCCAGGCCTGGAGTCAGGAGGACCTGAGTTCAAATGTGGCCTCAGACACTTCGTAGCTGTGTGACCCTGGGCATGTCACTTAATCTTTGTTTGCCTCAGTTTCCTCAACTGTAAAATGGGGGCAATATCAACGCCTACACTGTAGGGTTGTTAGGAAGATCAAATGAGCCCTTAGCACAATGCTTGGCACATAGTATGTCCTATGTAAATGCTTTATTCTTTCCCCATTTCCCCAAATTAAAAACATGGAAAGAGGCCTGAACTTAAAATCAGGCACTGGACTGGAGTTCAAATCCTGGCCCTGCACCACTTACTATCTGTATGACCTTTGGACCTCAGTTTCCTCTCCTGTTGGAGGTTGGACCAGAAGGCCCCGGAGTTCCCTTCCAGATGTGACTTTCAGTGAGCATCATCATAAGCCATTAGAGGGCTCAGGATACTCCCTGATAAGGGCAGGGACTTTTTTGTTTTTTGCTTTCTGGTGAGGCAATCAGGGTTAAGTGACTTGCCCAGTGTCATATAGCTAGTGTCTGAGGCCGGATTTGAACCCATGTCCTTCTGGTCCCAAGGCTGGACCTCTATCCACTGTGCCACCTAGCTGCCCCTGGGGCGGGGACTCCTCAATTGTGTCTCTGCATCCTGGTACCCAGTTGGGGCAGCCTGGCACACAGGAGGCCTGGTGAATTCTGCTGCATCACCAAAGCCCTCTCATCTGGATCTCATTGGAGCCTCATGAAGCTTGGGGAAGGGAAGCTCATTTTACAAATAAGGAAACTAGGCCCAGAGAAGACAAGCAAGGCCACACAGCCCAGGCCCAGAATCAGCCAATTCATCCACAAGCACTTACCAAGTGCCTACCACCACCAGGCACTGTACCAGGGGCAGAAACAGATAACGAACCCAATACTCCTGCACAGGCTGGTGCCTCGTCCATTAGAAATGGCACGTGACCCTTACCATCCAAAGAGCAGTAGAGCCACACACCCAGGGCCTTGGCAGGTGCCCCCTGCTCTGTAGAGTGGTCAATGCTGCCGGGACCTGAGGCAGTGTAACCTCAGTAGGTGGATAGGTGGTACCTCCCTTGATGGCTGGGTCATCTGCCTGGCCTGGCAACAACCTGAGCTCCAGGACCCGGTGCCCAGGGAGCTCTTCATAGCCCAGCCCCATCCATGGCACCAAGCCTATGGCAGGACCAGGGTGGGAGTAGGGATGGAATAAGAAAAAGGTGTCAGACATGCAAACACAAAGCACTGGCCACACGGAGCAGGTGTCCTTGGCCCAACCCTTCTTTCCCAGTCCTCGGTTTCTTCCATTTGTTAGTTAAGTGATGGGACTTAGGGAGATGGTCAAAGTCCCTTCTCTGCCAAGTACTACATTCACTCAATCAATCCATCAACCAACAAGTACTTCTTAATCAACACTTTTAAGCACCTACTGTGTGCCAGGCACTTTGTTAATTTGCTTTACAAATAGTACCTCATTTCATTCTCCCAACAACCCAATCCTGGGAGGTAACTGCCATTATTATCATCCCCATGTTACCGTTGAGAAAACCGAGGCAAACAGATTCAGTGACCTGCCCAGGGTCACAGAAAGTGCCTGAGACCACATTTCAACTTTCTGACTCCAGGCCCAGGGCTCTATGAACTTTGGCAGCACCAGCTGCCTCTGACGAGAAACCAGACCTTCCTAGCTCTGAGACCAGCTCTCCAGACACTGAGCTCTGGGCCTTTCCTATACAAAAAGAGTGATCAGAAGGGTCAATGGGATGTCTCTGCGATTGGGAACCTCCTCCCTCACAGCCAGTTAGCACCTTCTCTGTAACTTAGTCTTAGACAGCTGCCTAAGGTGTGTGTTAGAGCCAGGAACCCAGTGCTGAAGTAGGGTTAGTCCTGGTCACGAGAATCATTTCATCATCCTGGGCCTCAGTTTCCTCACTTAAAAAATGCGATCCCAACTTCCCCAAACCTTTACAGTCCAATGAGGGGGGCAGGCAGGGTCAGAGAGGGAGTACTCTGTAGTCCCTGAGAATGGCACCAGGCAACCCTGCAGGGATAATAAGGCCAAGACCTCCACAGAGTCCAGGCTCCAAGGACACCGGAGGCGGTGGGGCTCTCTCCTCAGAAGCTGTGAGCGGTGCTGGCCAGAAATATACTGGAGATGCTAGATAGTGGAGGTTTTCCAGTTGTCCTTGGGGGCCTTCTGCAGCCTTCCTTCTAGGGTTCATTTCCCTCTGTGCACCGCCCTTCCTTGGCCTCCCCTCAGCCAGCCTAGAGAAAGCCCAGATACACATGGGAGGGAGAAATATGTCAACATCCCTTTCAGCCTTGAAAAGAAATCTCAGAGTGATCTCTCCCTCCTCCCCTGCCACAACTCCCTCTGCCAAAGCTCTCTGCGGTCAAGGATGGGGAATCCCAAAGAGCTGCACGATCGGCATGCCCAAACCCCACCTTCTTCAGATGAGCCAACAGAGGCTGGAGAGGGAAGTGACTGACCCAGTGTCACATGGTGAATGAGCCGCTGAGCCACAGGTCAGTCCTTGTCACCGTTCTGCCTCCCTGCTTCCAGCCCCTGTATGGTTCAGAAAGGGCAACCCCCACCCCACTCAGTAAAGAAACTCAGCGCCCACCCCCATCCCAACATCACTTGGAACTGAACTAGGGAGCCCCCTGGCCCTGAAGCAACTGGTAGTAGGGTCCCCGGAGGCCAAAAAGAGTGGTGCCTGCTTCCACAAGTCCCGTCGGACATCTGGATTCTCCTTCCTCAGATCTGTAACAGGTTAAGGGGTGCACGGCCCACATACATCTGGTTCCTTCGCCCCATCTCCCAAAGAAAGGGCAAGGAGGAGGCGGGGGAATGGTGGAGGTACCTCAGCATCCAACCTTAAGGATGAAGAGGGAGAATTAGGAGGTGCAAACACACATCTGAGAGAAGAGCGGGATTCCTGCATTCCTTGGGGAAACCGGGACAGGGAGGGGAGAAGGGCTTAAGGGCTTACACCAAGTGGGGTGTACAAGTAGAAGAGAGGAGGAGGCATGGAATGTAGGCAAAGCAAGATGCACAATATGGGGTGGGGCGGAAGGGAGTGCAACGGTGCAAACGAGAAGCGAAAGCAGCAGGAGGGCAGGGGCACGTAAGGCGGGGGGGGGGGCGGCAAGGGGCGGGAGGAGGGGACAGGCACACGAGGAGGGGGTGCGCACTTCCCCAGCCCTGCGCCCACGTGTCCCGCGAGCGTCCCCCACCTGCTTCTGAATGTCCCGAACCCGCTGCTGGTGCTGCCGCGGCGCGCTGTTCAGCCTGAACACCACCCAGGCGCGCAGGTAGTAGTAGATGTCGAAGATGAAGGATAGCGGCAGGAGGAAGAGGCACACAAACACCCAGCGCTGATGGATGATGACGAACTCCAGCCCCTTCACCCGGATCCAGAGCAAGAAGAGCAGTGCGCACGCCGCCAGGGACACGGCCGGCTCCATGGCTGCACGCGGCTCGCCGGTGTCCCGTCTCGTCCCGTCCCGTCCCGTCCCGCGCAGGGAGGCGCGCTCCGGTCCCCGAAGTCGTTCTCTCCGCGCGCGCAGGGGACGCACACAGGCTGCAGGGATCCGGGGGCGTTCTCCCCGCGCGCGCTGCGGGGCTCCGGGAACGTTCGCTCCGCGCGCACTGCGGGCGCCTGGGGGCGTTTTCTCCGCGTCCGCAGGGGTGGACGTGGGCCGCGGACTTCGCGGGACGTTCCCTCCGCGCGCGCTGCGGACTCCTGGGGACGCTCTCCCCGCGTCCCGTCCCGAACCGGCAGCAGGCTCCGGGGATGTGCTGAGCAAGGGTTGCAAGAGTATCCCCCCTGCGGCTGAGGCAGAGGCGGCGCGGCGCGGCGCGGCACGCAGATCGGGGAGGAGCGAACCTTCAATGCGCCGCTCGCGCCCTCTTCTCGCTCCGCCCAGGCCCGCAGATATACAGCCTTGAGCCGGTCCGGGCTCCGATCCGTCTCCTGATTGGCTCGGCTTCCCCAGGGTTCGGTGGGCCGAGACCCTGGCGCTGCCCAATGGCGAGGCGCGGAGAGGATCGGACCAGGAACTGGGTGCCTGGATTGGCTGAGCTCTCCCGGAGCGCCCCGCCCCGCCCCCCCCCCGGCTTCCCGTGGAACCGGTCAGACCCCGCGTGCTCCGAGGAGGAGGCGGGGGAGGGGTCGACGGTTGTGGCTGTTTAACGAGTTTAGCTCTGTGTTGCCTGGCCCACGCTGCCCTGCAGGGAGCAAGGAATTCCTTACGGTCCCTGCCTCTCCTGTGCCAGGGGGGAAACTGAGGGCGAGGGGGGGGAAAGAGATTTAGTGTTAAAAAGGACCTTAGAAATCACCCAGGCCTGCCGCTCCTTGTTGTGGAGAGGAAACTGAGGCCAGAGAAGCGGAGCATTATCTAGGCACCTTAGAACTCAATGCTTGGCACATAGCAGGAGTTTAATAAATGCTTATTTCCTTCCCATCATTTAGTTTCGCCCCGACTTGTGCAGATGGGAAACAGAGGTCCAGGAGGGAAAGGGAATTTACAGAGAAAAGTAACGTAAGACACCAATGTCTTATACTATGGAGAAACTGAGGCTCAGAGTAAGGAAGGAGCTTAAAAGATCCCAGACTTTAGAGATAAAAGGGATCGTGGGGAGGATCCAGCCCTTATGCTGATGGGGAAACTGCGGCCCAAAAGAGATGGAGATCTGTAATTCATAGGATGGGGAGATGAGCTCAGAAGTGAATGGCTAAAAGAACGTAACATGGAGGGAAAATACCCAGAAGAGAGCGGAAAAAGGAAGTTCAGAAAGGGATACAGAATAGCGGCAGATTGGTTACTGACTAGCTAATTTTAATACACATTAAAAAAAAAAAAAAGCCTTGTGAAAGTCAGCCGTGGCATGTTTGATGGTAAGATGTTGATGTTTGTCAAGTTCACAATTTTAAAAAGGCCTTTAAAGTGTGCTAGAAATGTACATAATTGTCTATCTAGACAACCCGGCTTCAATCAGAGGGTGGAGGGATCACCTCAGACGGCAGAAGTAGAAACAATGTGGGGGGAGGGCACATTTGGGCTGAATTTCTGGAAAAACCACTCAGCCGTCCCAAAGCAGAATGGAGAGTAGGAGTCCCTGCCTTGGGGATCTTGACGCAGAAGCCTGATCTAGCCAGGCATGTTGTGAAGAGAAAATGACCTGAAGTAATGCCGGAGACAGGCTGGATTAGGTACCCCCTTCCAATTTAGATCTCTGATTCTGCTCCCAAACACGAGGAGACTGAGGTCTCCTCTTAGAAGACCTCCGCTTAGAAGAGGTGATGGTCTCTGCGGTCCTTGTATCTAGAAATCCGGGAATTCCAGGAGCAAGTATGGCCCTACCAATCCGGTTTTCTTATTTGCGAAAGAAAGGCGGTTTCCCTGGGGGCCCTAAGGGTTGTAAATATAATTAACCCAATGAATTACCTCCCAAATTAGCAAATAAAAGGAAGTATAGATTCAATTCTATTGTTTCACCTCGAATGAGTCATTTCCTCTGTCAGGGCCTCAGTTTCCCCTTTCTGAAACTGGAGAGAAAGGGAGTATTGAGTTGGGAGATCTTCTGGCTCCGAGTTTCATAGTTCTAATACTTAAAAAATCAAGTAGCTTGGAATACCCTCCGTTTTGCAATGATTCAAGCTCGGGCTATTCATGGTTAGGGCACTTCAGTACCATCTGCTATCTGGTTATACAGTAAATCCAATTAACTCATTTCCCCCAAGACGCACAAGGTTTCGACAGAGACATGGAAATAAATTTTGTGAGGCATGAGAGGAAGAATTGATGCAGGGGAATCAGAGAAGGAGGACTGATAGTGATGGAACCCAACTCACATCAGATCTGGGTTAAACAGAGAACGTGTACATTTAGAAGGGTGTAAACTCTTCTAAATTTCTAAAGAAATAAGAGGGTGAGGGAACCGGATGGAGCAGGGATAGAAGGGTATGTACATTAAGGGGAATGGGTTAAAGAAGGAACAACAGAGGGGGGGGTATAAAAGTGTTCTAAATTTTAAAAAAAGAGGGCAAGGGAATAGGGTGGGGGGAGGATATAAGGGAGGGATTCTTGGAGGGGGATGTAGGTTAAGGAACAGGAGGGCAAGCTAGTGGGTAGAAGTAAATCAGAGGAGGGATAGGAATAGGTTGAGAAGGATAGTGAGGAACCAATAGGAAGGTAAATATACAGCAAGTAATTATAGCTTAGAATGTGAATGGGATGAATTTACCCATAAAATGGAAACTGATTAAAAATTTGAATTCAACAATATGTTGCTTTCAGGAAATGCTATAAAAATGAAAGATACAAATATAAAATAAAAGTCAGGAATAGAATTTATTATGTAAAACAAAGCAGGAGTAGTAATCATGATCTCAGATAAAGTTAAAGCTGAAATAGATATTTAATCAGAAGAAAAATAGGAAAATTCACTGTCAGTCATATTATTCAATATTGTTTGGACAGTATATTTAATTTAAAATAATTAGACAATATAAAAAAACCTGAGAGTATACCTGCCCAAAAAGACACAGTAACTATAGGAATATAAATACAAAATACTTTTATACCAATAAAGTTAGATCTAAATAATTGAAGTAATTATTATTCATGGGTAGGTAAAACCAATATAATAAAAAAAATGACAATTTCACCTAACTAATCTATTTATGTAATGCCATCCCAATTAAATTACTAAAAAATTGTCTTACTGAGTTAGAAAAAAAATAGTAACAAGGTTCATTTGGAAGAGCAGAGGGTCAGGAACTTCAAGGAAACCAGAAGAAAAACATGTGAAGGAACCAGATTCAGTAATATCAGACCTTAAACCATATTATAAGGTGAAAGCATTGTTGAAACGTAAAATGGATAATTTTGATTATTTTAAATTAAAATTTTCTTATATAAATAAAGCCTATGCAGCCAAGAATAGAAGGAATGCAGAAAATTGGCGGGGGGGGGGGGGAGCCGACAATTATAAGACATCTGCCTTCCTTGAAGTGGTTTGGGTTGGAGTATTGCTGTGGCATAGGAAATGATGAGTTGGTTGATTTAGAAAAACATGGAAAGACTTGGACATATAAAGAAAGATGCTACCTACCTTCAGAGAAACAGATGACAAGTGGAAATAAGCATAGTATGGTCTTACATATATGTGTATGAGTGTATGTGTGTATGTTAATAGATATCTATATATGAATGTGTGTATATATGTGTATATACGTGTAAGTGTGTATATACTTAATTGTATTCTTCTTGGGGGGGAGGGAAGAAGGGAGAAAAATAAAGTAAAAAGTGCACAGCAGAGAACAAAAGAAAACCAGGAAACAAAGAAAAGCTGGGCAGCTTTGAAAACAATGTATAGTATTATATAGGTTTTCTTGAAATGGAAATTTATGACTTTAAATTGAATCCTCTCATGTTCTGCTGTGTGCATGGCATTTTTTTTTTCCTTTTCTTATTTTGTATTTAAGTTTAAAATAATTTTTAAAACTTAAAAAAAATAAATATTGATGAGCATGAGAAGTATTGCTTATGTCCTTGAGGTTGTCTGGGACTCTGGGGGGCTGCAAGGAAGCGGGAGCCCCAAGGTGACCTGGCCATAAGAACATGGTCCTCCTACTTTGTGCTTTTCCCACTCCCTGTCTTTGGTCACATTATTCTCCTAGAATTCCCTTCCTTTCTCCTCTGACTTAAAAAGTCCTACCCACCTTTCCAGCTATATTCATAGGTCCCATCTTCTCCATGAAAACTTTTCCACCCAGAATAAACTTGTATCATTTGCTTTTTGGAATATTGTATTCCAAGATCTTTTCTCATTTTTAGTAGAAGCTTTCAGATTTTATGTGATCTTGACTGAAATTCTTTGGTCCTTGAACTACTGCTATCTAGAAGTTTGCAGTACAAGGGAGCTCTGGATTTTGGCTATGACGTTCCTGGGATGTTTCCTTTGGAGTTTCAGGAGGTGATCAGTGATTATCTTTCTTTTATCACTTTACCCTTAGTTCTAACAGATCTATGCAATTTTCATTTATGAAATCTTGTGATATAGTATCAGACTTATTTTATCATGGGATACCATCTTTGTGTGTGGCTAATGTGGGGTGGAGCTGCAGGTCACAGAAAATGAGTAGTTTGAGGAACTTTGTGGTTAGGATATACCAGCTGATCCCTGTCATGAATACACTGGTCTCTGCTGTTTCTCAGAGCCCCATGGTGGGTTTACAACTGTAGGGTTCCTATTGGGGAAAAACCAAAAAATCCGGTAATAAATGAAAAGCCATAAAAACTTAAACTCGGTGAAAGGTGGAAGCCTGAATATGGTGACCTGTTAACAATTATAACTTAGACACTGAGTCATAACTTAAGATACTTGGCCTATGAAAGATACTTTGACCTATGAAAGCCAAAACAAGAATATTGTGATGCAGACGTGACTGGAACATGATAAATGCACAGACTTATGTTTGGGCACAACATAGGCTTAA